TCCTTCTCAAAGTCTGCCCAGGTCCAGAAGTGTGGAGTTCAAGACTTCACCTCAGCTCATAAGACTTGGTTTGCAAAGTGTGTAGCCCTGCTGGTTTTGAAGAATGACAGTGCCCAGTGGATGCAGGCCTGGTCTGATGGGAACCTGTCTCCGCTGACTGTGAAATGCAGGGCGAGGGTGTTCAGAAAGGCTCAGCCCCAGTCTCGGTCGCCATCGAAAAAAAATTTGTACTAGTACCACGTCGGATCCTTCAAGGGACAGTCATGATATCTATCTTAGCATCTTACTGCTCGGGACGACAATCGTAAAATGAAAAACACCCAGTTGGGAGGTGAGAATAGCGCTGTTACTGTACATAGAGGATTGACAATTCGACTATCAAGGATCAGGACGGATTTTGTACAGAGTTCATGATGCCAATCATTCTTCTTCAAAGCATGTGGTTAGGCCGTGCCAACCCTGGTCTTGAGCACAGAGAGCGACGGCGAAAAGAAGTAGGCGCCTCCTTTGGAGATCACAAATTGCTGCGGAAGGCTCGTGTTAGCTCCCTGCGCCTTAGGGTCCAACCCCCCTGTCTGGCGTGGCTGGCCATTTTTCTGGCCGATGACTACCAAAAGAACACGTTGAGATGTCACGACGGGCAAGAAGAATAGAAACGGCGCACTAGGATCAAAGCCTGGGTTGAAGGGCTTCCCATCCACTGTCTTGCCGAAGATGAAGCCGGGGCTGTTCGCCCAAGCTGTTCCGGCTCGTGATTAGGCATACGATAACCATACTGTACTCAAGTGACGTACATTCTTGCATGAATTCAAATCCATTGCTCAGAATGCTTTGATAGCATACGAACGCCAGACCTCTCTCGAGGGAGGTCTTATGGTTCTGGCGCTCCAGGGGGGTGACTTCCGGACCAAAGGGAATACCAGTGCGGTTGATCGAGTGAGGAGCAACACGAGCAGCCCCTAGGTCCGAGCGGGGGTTGGTTTTGCGGACGTGCGCAGCAAATGGACAGCTGGTCTGGTCCGTAGGCTGTGAAGTTGGTTAACAGATGCTTGCATAGACGCTGGCATGTCAGGCACATACCTTGGAGAAGTCAAAGTTATTATTTCTCTGGGGATCGTCTGCCAGCTTGGGGTCATCCTGGGTAGGGGTTATGTCGATAGGCGCACCTAGGTTCTCGAGCAGTTACTATCAGGAGTAAATGGGTAGAAAGCTGACTCACCACTCTTCCACCTACCAAACATCCTTGCGCCGAAGAGCTCTGCGCCCTTTTCAATGCCGAGCTCGAGAGGGAAAAGAGGATTGTCGTGCTTGAACTTATCGAACTCCGGAACGAGCTGGTCCAGGTGGCGATACACCAAAATACTTCCATTCTTGGCCCACACAGGGCGAGTTGCAGCGGAGGTATCCCCAGGCTGACCCATAAGCAGAACGCCGGGGTCGCATACCTGCTGACCGGGAAGGGGAGCGACAATGCCCTTCACAGCGGGTGAAGAGATGCCATCCCTGTACCCAAAGTGCTCGTGTCCTTTCTCTGCTCCCGGGCGAACAACTCCGTTAACCTTGAAAACCTGCTTAATGGTGTGGCCTAGCAATAAAAGTAGTTTAGCTTCCGTGGCCAGCACGCTGGCTTCGCAGTCTCCGGCAATCTGGTTTTCGCAGTAGAGTCAAGAGAAATGTACCAAGCTTCTATGGGCCAACGTACCAAAATGATGCCATGCATATCACCCTTGAATGCGGGAAGCCAGTCAGGAACGTTGTCTCCGAGCTGCTGCGCATGTTGGAATTGTCCTGCAGTGAATGCGGGGTCACCAAGGTTGTCCGTTAGCCCAAGCTGACGAACAGGACATAGATTGAGTCAAGCTCAAAGAATCGAGGCATATAACCACACACCAAGTTTAATCCAGACTGCGTAAAAGCAATGTTTACAGCAGAATGCGGAAGGAGAGGGCATATTTTTCCTTGGTACTTTGCCTTCTGGGCGCTGATATGCTGGCGGAAACCTTGGACGTCGCTGGAGACCGTAGATGCATTAGTTCACAGCAGCTGAGCGTATAAGGCGGAGTAATTACGCGGCGGATGTGATGAGCGCCATGAATGCTTGACTCCCGACGACCTTTCTGAACGCGGCTCCTTGAGCAATTGTGAAAAATATGAAATTCTCCACACGCTTAGGGATTTGAAGGCTATTATGGGTGGTGAGCTTCATAAATACACAAAAAAAACAAAAAAAAAAAAGCACGGACATGACATCCCCTTGGACATCGGTCAGGTCTACAGGCGTAGGTACTACAGACATCAGAGGGAATATTGAATCTTGTAGCAACTGAGGTCGGGTGATGGGAACAAGCAGAGCTGTTGCCAATCATAGGAGCCTTTATACTCTTGCCTGAACAGTGATGAACTAGTATTCGCTCAATGTGTTGGCGAGAAGCCTAGGCACCATCTGCCATGACAAGTGAACCAAAGCGCCTGGGCAGTTACACTCCGGTGTCTAGGCGTTCATTATTCAGTACTGGTGAATGGCGTCGAGATGACTTTTTAGGGGCGGCATTCAGTGGGAATACATACCCGAAATTACTGGCAGTGCCCCACGGCGCTCAGTGGGGCTCGAAGCTTGGAAGCTCCGGTTCAAAACTACATACTCGACGCCAGGCCCAGCGATATGCTCCAAAAGCATAGCCGCCAAGGACTGATCCCAAGCAGCGAGGCGTAACTGAATCATTGGCTGTTGTCGCCTATATGGAGACAGGCCCCGCACGTCGTAAAAGAAGGGGGGGGCTAAAGGTCTGTGTATACCAAAGTCCCTGTCATTTTTGGTCATCGGCTCCTTGTATTTCAAATACGACGTCACAGGTCACAGCGGCGGCTGTGTAAGCCCTGGCCGAAGCACCGCCACCACTTCAGTACTTCGAAGTCAGGACCCTCGACGACTACTGGAACTCGCAATGATCTTCGCGGCTCCTTAGCTTAGATTGAGAAGATGGAACACGTTGATTGGGCACACAGAATTACTGCGCTTCTGCTCCAAGAGTAATATCGGTCAAAGTCTTCTGTGTCTGCGGCTGCTGCACCTCCGTTTCAGCGATCCACTCAATATGAACGGATAGTATGGACCGCTGCCGCCGCGTTACCGCTCTTGATATAGAAAGAATCTTCCTGCTCGGCACCTCTGTCTGAATCCAGAACGTAAGGGTTTCTCGTTGTCATAATAAGTGCGTCTTTAATTAGAAAGCTAGGCCGTCACTTCCGTCTCATTCGATCCCCAGCTGTCCAAGACACGAGGAGAGCAATGGTTCTTGAGACAATACTGTAGTCACGGGGAACGCCTGTGTCACAAGGCCTCTTCCGTGTATTTATAAGGAAAGTGACTGTGGCGTCGACACGAGATGAATAATGATTGCTTACTGCCTTTCTTCCTTTTAAATTCTGGTAGGTACGCTTCGTGCGTTTGTATCCCAATACAGCCACTAGCTCGGTTGCTTGCCGCGCTCATTTGGATTAATCCAGATATATCCTCACTCTTGAATATCACTCAGGCCTCGGACGTGTTTGTGCCCATCCAGAAGCTTCTTACTAAACCTTGTGTGTCACACTCGTTGAAGTCGTTCGAGGGTAGTCACTGCCAAAAGATTATGTCTCCAGGCAACTAACTACGTACGAGACTCACCATGACGGTAAGTATCATGATTGTAGCGAATAATTAATCGCCTTGACAGACGAGAATTCCAGGAAATTAGACCTATTGTATACTTTCGCTTTCAACACAGCTGTACAACTTTATATCAAGTGCTGAATCATATACGCTTGATTGAGCCTTTTCACTTACAGTGTAACAGCCAAGCAGACGTCGTGGACATCTCGTTTCAGCAGCTGTAAGTCATGATTTATCTTGAACTATAGCAGATGGGATACAGAAAGATTTCGGCGAGCATTCACGCCGTCAACGACATCGTGTTTACTGCTAGTGCGACCTCGGAGCCGGTCGTTAGTGGAAGAATTCGCTACTCGCCCGGACGTTCCAAAGGCAGAATGACAAAATTATTTGCTCGACACGTCGTGAATAAATAATAATTTAGCATTTTACCGTAATTATTCAAGATCAGCCTAGTTTCGATCAACGTGTAGGTTTACGGCAAGCCTGAGTATTTACATCATCATTATTTCGACTAGGTACCAGCCGCCGAGTATCTGTGCGTATAGTAGTGGTTCACCTTCGAATGAGCACGTACTTAGGTCGGGTTGCTGGCAGTATATTGATACTACTGGTGCATTAACGTTGGTCCTCGGAAATTTCAGTTGATGGAAGCCGTATGAAGTGTAATTGGCCACGCGGAGGATTTCTAGAACAAAAGAAAACGACAGAAACAGTCGACCGCAGCACGGAAGGATGGTTATTGAACACCCGGTGCATGACGAAAGCCTTTGGTATGATGAACTTACTGTTGGGAGAGGACTCCATGCGGCCCAGCGCTAAGAATGCACATTTTGTAATTCCCAGTGTAGTAAAGGCATCATGCACCGCACTGCAAGTGTCACTTGACTCGGACTGGGTTCATTCCCGCTGGCGGGAGGCCCAGCCCGAAAATAGGGATGTCAGATGTATAGGGGAAGACACGACGCGTCACGTTGAATATTATGGTACCTTACTTAGCCTGAGATTCTTCTACTAATCCTCCTCTTCGGCTGATAGCGTCGATGGCGACCCCCAGTCGAACCAAGGGATAAAGTTGGGGAAAAGAATGAATATTAGAATGACGAAGCAGGCTTAATTTCCTCGGATACGCACCGTTGAAAGGAACTAATATTCGTCACTACGTGATTGCGGGTCGGAAGATTCGCTATTCCCAACAAGCTCTGTGATGTGTCAATGAGCTCCTCCCGAGTACTGCACTAGTTTGCCAGCCACTATGGAGCACGGTGAAGAAAGCTCCAGCGAAAGTCATCATCGATCATCCTCAAGCATAGATACTTAAGATAGTTAGTCGTCACTAGCCATCGATACATGAATGGTGAAACGGTATCATGCTTGCCTTCCATGAGCGACAGCAAGCGGCCGGGGTTCGACTCCCCGTTCATGTAATTTTTTTCGTTGCCTGGCTGAGACATTACGTAAGTATTATTTTACTCAAACCACCTTCCTTCTTTGCGATCGTGAGCGCCTATGTACGGTGTCCATAAGCCGCCAGGTTGAAGCCTATGGCTCCTCTTCCAGGTAATTTTGGCATCGTCTTTCCCCTTTCCACTTTACAAGTAATTTTTGGTTCCTTCTTCTGCCACTCCCCTTTGCTGTAGGGCTCTCAGATGGGTTAATATGTTACGACCACCGTGTTCGTTGTATCCACAACTGACAATGCGACGCCGCGCTAGAGCACTTTCAATAGCGACCAGCCAGTCAAGGCTCCGGCAATGAAGAAAATACGGCATAGACTAGACCAAGGTCGATATCACGACCCGCAACCGCTTGGTTTAGTGCGGCCTGCCAGACGCATTGTCTATGAGGGCCTTGGTCGCACTGAGTTCAAGACGAGCTCTAGAACCTCGAGACGTGCAGCGTCGAATTCACAGCACCCGCGTCCATCGTGCCCGCCCAGTTCCCCGTGAACGTGATCGCACTGCCGGTGTCGAACGCCTGCGTGCCCTCGAGCGCGAGGAAGTACAAGAACGGCTGCGGGAACGCATATACGGGAATGGTGATGTTGGACGGCGGCTTCAGCGCGTCGCACGTCGCGTTCTGCGCCACAGCGGACCTGGAGGCCAGCAACGCCCCCCACTCTGGGAGGTCACTGCGAGAGAGTAACATTGTATATGATGAGCCTGCGCGGCGCACGGTCACAGCACACACACACGGGCGCACAAGCTGGGGCGCAAAATACGTACGTGCCGCGATGAACTAAGCAGAGGGGCAGAAATTGGCTCTCCTCGCGCATTTTATACGGCACGCTTCACAATTTATTTAGAAATGGCGTCGCGCCCAGCCTGAGCAGGGTCACCACGAGCAAAGGGGCAGTGATACGATCAGTCCCCAACCACGCTTTGGGCCCCCACTGAGCTGCCGTGGCGTTGCAATTTATTAGAGAATATCTGCTGAGCGCTGAGCCCTTATGCCAATACGTACTTACGCGTGAAACGCCAGGGTAAAGGTGACAGATGCGGGAGAGCAGGTGCCGCTGTGGAGTGTCTTAATATACATATATCTTCGCCGGGGCACCTGTCTGCTGAGGCTTCACCCTAGAGCGGGAGCTAGAGTTGGAAGGGGTCATGCGAGTCTTCTCTATAGACTGAACAGTGGACACACCCTGTGAATGTGAGTAGAAATAACCACTGGCATTAAGACTTGCCTGGTTCTCTGAGGCGTCGGTGTCGTTCACATTCACGGGCACGGGCATCGAGTGGTTCGGTGTCACGGGCCCGATGGTGGCGTTGCAGGTGTTCATGAGCGTTGTGTCGACGGGGCATTGTCGCTGATCTGACCGGCGGGCCGCCAGGTCTCCCTGAACAGCACGCCTCCCGTCGCTACGGTGAGTGCCTTCTCGGACGTGACGAATGAGCAGCAGTGGCTATTCAGCAATCTCACGCTGCCGTTCGCCACGTACACCATTACCATCCAGAACACTTTTGGGCACGCCTCGAGCTTGAGCGCGTTTGTCGTGACGCCCGCCGCCGCGCCGCCGATCCCAAACGCGGGCGGCTGGAGCCTGATACAGCGGGGCCTGACGGGCGTGTCGGCGATGCAGGTCACGGTCGTGTCGCCCACGCACGCGATCATCTTCGACAAGGTCGAGCACAGCTACGCGAGCATCGGCGGGCACCCCGCGTGGGGCGTGCTGTACGACCTCAACACGGACGAGACGCGGCTGTTCCTGCTCGAGTCGAACTCGTTCTGCGCGTCGGGCTTGTTCTTGTCGAACGGGACGCTGATCAGCGTCGGCGGGAACCCCGCGGCGGTGATCGACACGTCGAACGATGCGTATCACGACGTCAACGGGCTGCAGGGCATCCGGATCGTGGAGCCGTGTCTCAGCCCCGACGGGAACTGCGTCGTGCAGGACATAGTGACCGCGACGCGCGTCAAACGGTGGTACCCCACCGTTCTGCGGATCACGGATGGCTCTGCACTCATCATCTGAGGGGTGACGGAGAACGTGTTTATGAACAACATCAGCCGGTGTCGTTCTTCCCGTCCAAGCCTACGAGTCCTATCAAGTTCGACGTGCCGTTCCTCAACCGTACGCTCAACGCCAACCTGTTCGTGCACGCGTTGTCGCTCCCGGGCCAGCGGGCGTTTATCATCTCGAACACGCCGTCCATATTCTTCAACTGGGGCGCGTCTCCGCCGCAAGAGGAGCCGCTGGAGCACGCTTTCCCGGGGAGCAACCTGACGGTCACTGCGCCGCCGGGGCCGCAGTACGTGTTTGTGGTGGCGGATGGGGTGGCGAGCAAGGCGGCGATGGCGCTGATTGGGGACGGGAAGGCGCCCTCGGCACACTGAGAACAAGCGATTTTTTGATAAAATAGTGCATAGCAGCATTGTGATTTGCAACAGACGAAAGGAGCGGAGGAAGTTGAAAGTGCAGACTACGTAGTGCCATGAGAGAGAGAGAGACGTTCAATTATAGTGCTTGAAGTCGCTTCAAGCACTATAATTGAACGTGCACCATACTTAAGTACTGTGACTAGGAAATTGGGCCAAAGTGAACACTGAGAAATGGGCGTGAATGGGCTGTGGGCACCCGCAGATGCACCTGGCCCCATGCTGGAGACATAGATCTAAACCTATCGCGCTTATGCAGAAGATGGTTGCATCTCCAGACTTTTGTCTCTTGCCGCGGGATCCTACCTCTGGTCCCCCAGTGGTGGTCAAAACTCACTATGTGGTAGAGAGGGAGAAAATATCAGAAGGACTGGGTGTAATTATTGGCCAGGGAGGCATGAGAGGGCCAATCCCTCATGATGAGAACTCGGCGTAAAGAGAGCCGAGTTCGACGTGGGGTATGTTCTGCGATAGAGTCTGCGTTAGCCAAGTGCAGTGTTCAAGAGGGCCCGAGGTTATTTTCATAATGCGCTTTCGAGCACTCTATATTTGCGGCGGAACACTATCCGGAGCGCTCCGGACTATAGGAGTGGTCTATCATTAGCCTGTAGTGCTTAGCCATTGGTCTATCAGGTCCAGTGCGTAGCCACTGTCTATCAGGTGCGTAACGCTACATCGCGACACTGCCTCAATCCTTGTACCAGTGACGCACACATTCTGTCTAGAGTTGTTTTCTTTGTTAATTTTTTATTATTTTCAATACAGCCAGCTACAGGGCTGCTCAGAGTCCTCTCTTAAATTCTCTGACATGCCCTAGCAGCAACCAATCGGTCGCCCTCTACCAACCCCTTACAGCCATCTACTAGCTATCTTGGGTTCTCGCATCTTTTTTCCTCTCCACTCGACGCCACAGACTGATGTACCACAAACTGTCCTCCATGCGGATCAACGCCCACAATCGTCAGAATTCTGTCTTTTTTATGTCGTCGTTTGAGTTTGTGCCTTGACTTTGTCCTTCGAACTTTGTCCTCCGTCAACGCAGGCCTCGTGTCCAGGGGCTCAGTTCTATTTGTCCTTCAGACTTGTCCTTAATGTCACGCTGCCTTTGTACCCAATTCCAGGTCTCATAGGTATAGTTCAGTCAACTATGCCAGCTTTCTGCGATGCCTGACGCCATTTTTTATGTACATTTTGAAGTACCTTATCCTTGGGTTTCCACCGGCTGTATGCCTGTCTCAGAAGCTCCCGCCAATGTTTTGAACGATAAGGATTCCAACGACACGTGGCAATATAATATAATAGCATACAAGAAGCCTCATGATATCTGGATCCCCGGTGACCACGCCCTCATTTTGGCTGTCAATGCCAGTGTGTGATTCCCTGATTTGGCTATGTCTCACTTAGCTGGAGATAACAAAGGTTCGATGCCAAGGAAAACAAGTCAGCAGTGGCACAGAGTGACTTGTCGGCCCGCTAACTGAGACTACACTTTGTGCTACCATTCTTTGAACAGTCGTTTTTGTGCCGTCGACATATGACTTTGATCTCAATTTTCTTTGTTTCCGGGGGAGTACTTAAGCGCTCCGGCGAGCATCTGAGCACTTCGCATCTTTACCCAGGCGATTTTTATTTTATTTTTTTAAATCCATTAGTACCCATTGAGCGCACTCTGTAGGATAGTACAAGCGTGTACCTATAGAGAGACCGTTATCAAATGACGCAACATACTGCCTAAGGCGGGGGGTCCCAAACTGGACTACCACCCCATGAAAGTTAATCGCTGTAAGGTATAATAATTTAGTGGTGAGAAGGGGTTGAGGACGGACGGAGCGGGCGATGCGGGCATGCGAGTGGAAGCGTGGGGCGAGCGGGGCTCCCGGACGGGCAGGGTTCGGGCGAGCGGGCAGTGGCATGTGGTAGGTGGGCAAGCAGGGAGTGGGCGTCGTGCGGCGTGGTCTGAGGCTGCATTCGGTGCTAAACGTGATCTGTAGTAAAAGAGGGGTTGGTTCTAATTCGCGGCAGGCGATATTATTTGACATATCTCCTTCTATTCAAATAACTAGCAGACATCTAACGCCTAGCTAAGAACTCCATATTTATCGTCGCAATTATATTCGGGAGCCCCCGCCCTACCCTTTCACGCCAGAGCACAATTTTACTGTTCTGGGCTATTTTGAAGAAACCATAGAGGAGATGGAGTTTATTTCAAAGCAGGGGACGGAAGACAACTCCGACAACAATGTTAACGAGAATTTAGGCTGCGTTTCAAAGGGGATGAGTGGACATCCAGTGAAAAAGGGTGCCAGAGGATTTATACAGAGATATGGACAGAGATACAAAAAGGGCCAATGTGTGACTACGACGGAGGAGATAACCGGATGCTTTGGGATGTGCAGAGAACCCTGCATCAAATCGTCGGCGTTTCCTTCCCCTCTGCTTCGTTTCCGTAAGCGGTGATCGGAAGACGGGTGTGCACAGGCGGGCTCACCAGAGGGAGTGGACAAGAGTTGCTAGGCCGCCAAATCCTCAACCTTCATCCTCCATGTCG